ACTCACATTCACATACACATACAGACACATGCACACACAGAAATGAATGTTGCGAAATAATAAAGAACAAGAAAGGTTCAAAATAAGAGATACAAAACCAACCCCTCCACAGGAGTAGAGGTCTGAAGGTGTTAAACATTGCATGTTTTGGGACTTATTCAATGAATTCTTTGGTTGTGCTGATTTTTTCTCTTTTTTTATTTCTTTTTTTTTTTGTCTTAAAAATATTCTGTTACATGGGATGGCTCTTTGAGAGGGAGAAGGAGGACGGAAAACTATGGTGACGGAAAAGACGCTAACAAAAACTTACTTTGGGTAAAAGAAATGTAATGAACACTCTAGATCCCTCTCCCAGAGCCAGGCCAGCTACATCTCTTCTCTATTGCAATCTGCTCAAGACTCCAGTCCTTATAGTCTTTCTACTTCTTGATGCCAATAACTAGTACTCTAGTTCCACTTACCACTTAACTGGAACTGGACTTTTTCCAAGGGATATTGGCTTCAAAGATTTAGTAAGAACAAAAGTACAAACATTTCATTAGTTAACAAGCAAAGTAGAGGAACAGGGAAGGAAGTATCTTTTGGAACTGCAGATAAGGGGCGAATTCTTGACCAAAGAAGCTCTAGAAAAGTTCACAGGAAATAGAATGAACAGCTTTGATCTGATAAAAATTGAAACATTTTTGCACACAAAAAAAAGTCAATACAAGTAAAATAAGGGAATAGTTAGCTGGATATTTGCCCCCAAATGCATCTGATAAAGGTCTGATATCCAAAATATATAGGGAATTTATACAAGCATATAAGATTAAGTGTCATTCCCCAATAAGTAAATGGACAAAGAATCTAAACAGACCATTTTGAAAAGAAGACAGAGAAGCTATAAACAACCATGAATATATGCAAAATATTCCAAATCACTAATAATAAGACAGATGAAAAATAAAATAACTCTAAATTTCAAACTCCCAGCCTTCCAATTGGGAAAGATTGGAAAAAAAAAGGAGGGGGAGATGACAATTGTTGGAAGGACTATTGAAGGACTGACAAACCAAAGTAGTATTGATGGGGTTGTGAAGTGGTCCAACTATTCTGGAAAGTAATTTGGAACTATACCCCAAAAGTCACTCAACTGTGTACACTCTTTAAACCCCCTTTTTCTGCAATCTTTCCATATTGGAAGGCTAGCAGTTTCACCTTCATAAAAAAAAAATACCTCACTTGTTCTTTCCATCCCCATTAGGTATCATTCCCTATGTCTCTTACCTTTTGTGACTAAACTCCTTGAGAAATCCATTTACAGTGACACATATCTCCACTTTCTTTTCTTCACTCTTGTGTCAGCTCTTTAAAGTCTGGCTTCCAAATGCCTTTTCTAACCTTTAACAGAAACTGCTCTGTCCAAAATTAGTGATCTCTTATTGCCAAATTGAATGGCTTTTTCTCAATATTTATCCATCTTGACCTTAGACATGTTAAACTGAAGAGCTTTACAAAACATCCATTTTGAGGGCTTGCATTACTGGGAGGACACTGGTAACCTTTGACACTGTCAATCATCCTCTTTTCCTTGATACTCTCTTCTCTCTAGATTTTCCTAGAGAGAATATCATTCTACCTTCATAATCCTCTTACCTACATGACAGTTCTTTCTTAGTCTTCTTTGCTTGGTATTTACTCAGCTCATTCCTGTTAATGCTCCATATCCTGCCTTCTCTCTTTTCTTTCTATACTGTTTCACTTGGTGTTCTCATCAGCTCCCATCAATTCAATTGTCATCACTATGCTGATGATTCTCAGATCTATCGAGCCCTAACCTCTCTTTTAACTCAAGACTCCCATCTTCAACTGCCTACTGGACATCTCAAACTGGATGACCTGAATAAAGTCAACATATAGAAAACCTAATTCATTATCATTTCCCCCCAAACCCTTTAAGCTTCTGAATTTCTCTAAAGAAGTCTGTCAAGAGTATCACCATCTCAGTAACACAGGCTCTCAAATTGGATGGCCCACAGACCTCTTAAACTCATGCTCAAAACTGAATCCATTATATTTTCACCAAAACTCTCCCATCTTCCTAACTTCTCTGTTATTATTGAGGGTATCCTCCTCCTCCCAGTCACCCAGCCTTGAAACTTGGGGGTCACCCTGGATTTTTCATCCTCTCTCTCTCTCTCTCTCTCTCTCTCTCTCTCTCTCTCTCTCTCTCTCTCACACACACACACATACACACACACACACATACACACACACCCCAACCTGTTGCAAAGGTCTATTGATTTTACTTTCATGATCTCTCTTTTTTCCTCTTTTTTCCACCTTTTTTCCTCTCACATTGCCACCACTCTGGTACAGGCACTTGTCACCTCACACCTGGACTATTATAATAGCCTTATGGTTGCTCACCCAGCCTCAAGTCTCTCCCCTTCTCTTCCTGTCTCAAAGCCAGTCAAAGGAGACGGTAAGGTCAGTTTATGTCAGATACTGAGGGAACTGTGTGAATTGAATGAATCACACTGACTCCATCTTGTCACTCAATTCTGGGGCTAGCTCAGTTCCCTTTCTATTCAACTATGAGTCTAGTCCAATTTCTGTCTTCCAAGAAAACTTTATTCAATTAAGTAAATCGTGAGAAATTTTATTGCATTATTTGAACATAACCCTGCAGAATGACTGGGAAGCTGGACCACCTCTATCTGCTGCTTAGAGATGCTGACCAGAAATCTAGTCAGAACCAAAGACTGATGGAAGGAGTTTTCTCATAACGGTACATGTCAAGCAACCCATATAGCTTATCTGAAAATTAGCCCCATATTGGTCAATTAGTCAACCTATTTCCTGGTTCCTTTGACTGAATGCAGACACTTGGTGGGGAGTGGAACACCTCTTTTTCTGATTTCAGGGAACTGTATCTGTTCGCTTTCCCTACCTCTCAGCTCTCTAAACTTGCTCATCCCCCTCCTGACTTGGAAAGCCCCTAATCTTTCTTCCAATTAGAAATCAGGCTACTTAATTCTATAACTTGTTTTGTATTCTGCTTATTTTAAGTTAAAATTAATTTAATGTAATATTACTTTAACGCATAAAAATCTACCTCCCTCTGCATTCAAGATCCACCTCTCGATTCCAATTTGTTATGCAATTGGCACACATTGCTTAATTGGCACATGATATGCTTGGAAGCTTGAACCTTTGTTTCCTCAATTATTTAAATCGATCCACATGCCATAGTCTTTTCAATTATTTCAGATTTCACTTGCCATAATACCAGTACTGGGGGTAGGGGTAAAGGTTTCAGGAAAGAATATGAAGGGAATAGGCAGACCCACTCTGAGATGTAATATAGAGGAAAGTCCAGTGTGGCCTGAGGGTCAGGGATTGTGGTTTGTTCTGAAGGGTCCAAGGCAGAGGGTTGAGGAAAATGCCAATTCCCGTAATCCTTGCAATCTGCTTAAGGGTCCTGGGAAGGCAGGAGAATAATGCCAGCCTGCGTGCTCCTCCCCTCCTGTTTGCCCAAATGCCCAGTCCTCTTCCCCAGGCCTTGGTCCAAACCTAGTGCCCCATGGACACTGCCCAAACCTTTAATGTGCCCACCTCTCCCTCCTACAGAGCTTTCCTTTCTTTGTTTCCCATCAGGCTTTACTTCTCCCACTTCAACTAGACCCAAGGCTCCATCCCACCCCGCCAAGACCACGCTCATGACCTGAAGGTGGTCATCACTCTGACTTTGGCTGCTGGCCACTCGCCCTAGGCCCAGTCAAAACTGATCAACCACAAACCAAGAGTAGAACCCTTCATAAACTGGGGTTAGAGGGGAAGGTAAAAGAAGGTAAAAGGTAAAAAGGTACCTAGAGGTAAAGAGGGACCTGAGAGTGTGGCTGGATTCTTCAGGGCAGCAATCATGGATGAATTATGAGAAGTGCAGAATGGGAAGTTCCACTATAGGGGATAGGAGAGTTCTTGCTTAGAAGTATTCCATTAAAGGATTCTGAAGCAGCAGGATCAGATGAAGTGGACTAGCACATATATCTGACATGATCTAACCTCAGCTCTGTCCTTTCTTTTCCCGGTATCTGACATAATCTGTGACCGGTATTGGACAATCAGCACCTCCAGGAGTTGCTTGTCCCATCTATGGACAGGTTCCTGAGCAATTTAACCTCTGCGTTCACCTCTAAATACTGTCAAACTGGTATCCCCTTCAGCAACTGCACCCCACCCTTGGGCCTCTTAGACTCTCGCCTCCCCTCGATTCACTGTCTGCTGCATGGACAGAAGTAATTATCTTGGAATAAAGTCTGAATTTATGGCCACCTGGCTGTGCAAACCCACTCTGTGATGGAGGAGTGGGGCAAGAGGGCTGGAGAGGGAGGGACATAAGGGCACTGTGTTCCATTTTCCTAAGTCACTGAGACTTTCTCATCCCAGAGAGGACAGGGTGGCAGAGATGGGAGAGGCTGGTGACCCAGCCCAGTCCCTTGCCTCCTGTATATCTCTCAAGCAACCCCACCCACACATGACTTAGGAGATATTTCCAGACACGAGATATTTCTAGACTATCACTCCCTGTGAGCCAGGCCTGGCTGGGTGGGGTAGTTAGGATAGATGGTGGGGCTGAGAATGAGGACAGATACAAAATGGAACAAGACAAAGTCAGGACTCCTGAGGAGCCCCAAGTCAAGAGCTGCAAAGGTGCCCTCACATCATTTCAGGCTCTTTTGCATACTTATGTTCTATATTCCCTACTAAAACAGCCTTTAGCCAGAGTGCATTTTGTGGGTGGGAAGGAGGGCCCTCTCCTATGTCTCATGCATTAGGCTCTGGGTGTATGCAGCCCAACTCGGTAGACCCCCTAAATTTGGTTCATGGTAGTTGGCTGTGCCTAGAGCAGAGGAGAAAGATATCTAATATGCTGCTTAGAGATAGAACTCAGGGTGGTGGGATGGAGAATGTGGGGAGCTGGAAGGGTTTAGAATGGAACTTTGTACAACCAGCTGGTCCACCAAAGGCCTGCCTGTTTGAAGACTGTCAATCCATCCCCACACCTTCCCAGGCATCACTGAACTGGAAGTCAGAAGGTATAAACTCTGGTTACCTCTCTATCATCATAGCGTTACATGACCTTGAACAAGTTACTTCTCTTTGGGGGGCCTCAGTTTTCCCTTCTTGTAAAATGAGGAGGTTCAATTAGATAAGGCCCCTTCCATCTCTGGCATTCTGGATTGCATGTTCCTTTCCAGCCCTACCATTTTCTGTTCTAAGGCCCCTTCCACCTCTGACATTCTAGAATCTGTAACAGCATGGTGAGATGGCAACAGAACTGGAGTAAGAAGACCTTAGTCCCACCTCAATGATTTATTAATCATGTGACCTTGGGCAAGTCTCTTAATGTCTCTGAAACTCAATTTCTGCATCAACAAAAACTGAATAATAATTCCTGTCCTAAAACAAAGCTTATATCCATTGATAGGGGACTAACTAAATAAATCATAGTATATATATGTAATAGAATACTACCGTCCTGTAAAAAACAATGAATAGGGGATATGATGAATAAAGAAAAGCATGGGAGGACTTATGTGAATTAATACAAAATCAAGTAAGTAGAATCAGAAAAACAATATACACAATGACCACAGCAATATAAATGGAAAACAACAACAATCACAAAGCAATCAGAACTGAATGCTGTGAAATTACATTGACTAGGCCTGGCCCCAAAGAGTGCATCTCATTCCTTTGTTGCAGAAGTATGGAACTATGGAATATTGAATATAACATTAGATTTTTTCAATGTATTGGTTAGTTTTGCCAAGCTTTTTTTTTTATTCTTTGTTATAAGGGATGGCTCTGGGGAAAATGGAGATATTTTGGAAGGTGTAGCCCAACAAAAACAAAACAAAACAGAATTTAAAATAATAATTCTTGTGTTAACTTCATCACAGAGACTTCTTAAGAATATGAGAGTGCTTTGTAACCTTAAAGAGCTATGAAATGTGTGCTCTCTTCTTTTCTTTTTTTAATGTTATTCTGTGGTTCCATCTACTGGTGTCTGCTCTGTTCAACTTCTTGTCCCTTAGCTTTACAGAGTCTCTAGTCCTGACTTGGATTGGGCATGAGGGAATTCAGCTGGTCCAGCATGAGCTGAGAGCAAAGACCAGAACATCAAAGACCAGAACATTGAGTCAATGATTACGTGAGAAGGGAAACCTCAGACTTGGGAGGGAGGGAGGCCAAGGGTCTCCTACCTCCCCCAAACTCCAATTTTGTACTGTAGTGTATCCCTACCAACTCTCTCTCTCTCTCTCTCTCTCTCTCTCTCTCTCTCTCTCTCTCTCTCTGTCACTACTACTACTACTACTACTACTACTACTACTACTACTACTACTACTACTATCTGGAGAATGGGACAGAAAGGGAATGGGATGGGATAAGGGCACAGATTGGGGTGAAGCAGAATAGGTAGGGATGAGAATGGAATTGGGGAAGAGAAATGATTGTAAGGGAATGGGATTGGAATAGATGGGGATAGGGATAGAATAGGTTTGTAATGGGAGTAGGATAGGACAGGATTGAGAAAGGAAGGGGATATGAATTGAATTGAATTGGCAAATGGGGAGGAACAGTCAGTCAGTCAACAGGCATTTATTAAGTCCCAATAATTCAACAGGCATTCTGTTAAGCACTGGGGAATACAAAGAAAGGCAAAAATAGTCCCTGTTCTCAAGGAGTTTACCATATATTGGGAGAGACAACAGGCAAACAACTGCGGACAGGATAAGTGGAAGGTAATAACTGAGGGAAAGTACTAGTATTAAGGGAGACTGAGAAAGGCTTGTTGCAGAACATGGGATTTTAGCTGATACTAGAAGGAAGCCAGAAAGTAGAGAGGAGAAAAGAAAACACAGGCACAGCCAATGAAAAGGCATGAAGTTGGGAGATGGACTGTCCCCTGTGAAAAACAGCAAGCAGACCAGTGTCAGGAGCAGGAAGAAGGAAAGTCAAGATGGGTCAGTTCTAGAATAGAGAGAAGTAAACTTCTGTCTGTCCACCCATAGTGGATAGACCACTGGACTTGGAGTCAGAAAGACAAGCTGAAATCCAGTCTCAGACACTTGCTAGTTGTGTGACCCTGGGTAGGTCACTTAACCTCTATCTGCCCTGGTTTTCTCATCTGTAAAAATGGGAATAATAACAGCACCTACCTCCCAGAGTTGTTTTAAGGATCAACTGAGAGTCATATTTGTAAAGTTTTTGCAAAACTTAAAGCCTATATAAGTGCTAATAGTATCATCATCATCATCATCCTGGTCATCATCATCATCACTGTTATTATAGTTCCACAAGCTGAGTTTATGGGATTAAGGGATGTGAGGGCAATATACAGGTCTGTGTTCTGTAAAACTTGGACTCAGTCGAAAGGCTGCACTTGAGTACGTAGAGGGCCACACATGGCCTCGAGGCCTCAGGTTCTTCACCCCTGGCTGGCATTCAGGATTCTGAATTTGCACGGGTGGTTCGGGGCAGGTGGGAACGCAGCGCCCCCTGTAGTGGAGACTCGGCCTCGCACCACCTGGTGCCAGCCAATGAGCTCCACCTCCCCAGTGCTAAATCTAGGACATTCCATCCTTGGTGAACCCCTAGCCGTCAGACCTGGTAAAGAAGGATGGCTCTCTCCGCTGCAGACAAGTACAACGTGAAAGAATTCTGGGAAAAACTGGGTGAGAACACCAATGTGTATGGCACCGAAGCCCTGGTAAGGTGAAGGAACACCCAACCCAGCACGTGAATCCTCCGCTTCCATGAGTCCGGAACCCAGCAACGCACCCTGCCTCAGCCAGCTCCTAGGACCCCTTCCCCGCTCCCCGCCCCGCCCCGCCCCAGCCTCTGGACCCGTTCTTCTTCCAGGACCCAGCGGGCATCCTGGCATTGCCTCCGCCTCTCAGAACCCCCTTGGCGATCCCCTCCTCCCTGAGCCGGCTCTCTATTCTTTGCCCCAGTCCTGGGTTCGAGCCCATAGAACTTCAGATTGTCCTCTTTTTTGGTTCGTAGGACCTTTCTTTCTTTCCCTGAAACCAAGACCTACTTCGCCCACTTCGACCTCTCCAGCGGCTCCCGCCAGGTTCAGGCTCATGGCAAGAAGTTGGCAGATGCACTGACTTTGGCCGTCAGCCACCTGGATGATTTGCCAGCGGCCCTCTCCTCCCTGAGCGATCTCCACGCCCACAAACTCAAAGTGGATCCCATCAACTTCAAAGTGAGTGGAGAAACGGGGTAGGGGGTAGGGGGGACGAGAAGCAGGATCTAGAGGGAAGTCATCCAACTTGGGTCAACTGTCTTCAAGTGCTTGTGCTGCGCAGTTGGGAGAGGCTGCGACTGGGAGAGATTGAGTGGTGTGGAAAGAGGAGGTGATGAGGTTCCGTGCAGAATCCAGGGCTAGTGGGATCCATGAAGTGGGCACTCACAAAGATCTGACCCGGCCTGACCCGGGATCTGGATCTGCCTGTTCTCTCCCCAGTACCTGTCTCACTGTTTGCTCGTGACCCTGGCTAGGCACCATCCGGGCAACATGAACCCCGAGGTGCACGCTTCTCTGGACAAGTTCCTGAGCTACGTGTCCAACATATTAACGTCCAAGTACCGTTAAGCTGGTTAGAGGCGACCTCCCGAGCGCGACCCTTGGGTCCTCCATGTAGCCAGCTCCCTCCCCCAGCTAGAATGGACGTGAATCTTTGAATAAAGGCGAAGTCCGTGGCAACCTAGCTGTGTGCACTGGAGCTTTGAGTAGGGGTAGGTGGGTGGGGAGCATTTGTGTTCAAAATTGCAGCCACTTCCCCAGCTCCCGAGACAGTTCAGCTGTCTGGGGTTGTCTGGGGCTGCATCTAGATCCTGACACAGGGGAGATCTCTGGGGGGCTGAAGTGCTGCTGTCTACCCCACCCTACTGCTTCCCCTCCTTCCCAGCCTCATAGAGTACAAAACCCCCTCCCATTGACTGTTGTTTCTGTTAATTTTAATTTTTATTCATATATTTTGCTTTTCCATTATCATCATTTCTGTATATAATCCCCCCCCTCCCTCCCCTCCCCTGTGACTCCTGGTAAACAAACCAAAAAAAAACCCAAAAAACAATGCAACAAATTTAACCAGCACATCAACACCCATTTCCCCCCCCACACACACACTTTTACATAAAGTGAGGGAGGTGTATTTTATCATCACTTTTCTAGGCTACAACATTCAGTTTATTTCTACTGTAATTTTAGTTTTTCCCATTTACATTATAACCATTGTGTACATATATTGTTTTCCTGCAGCCTCAGAACCCAGAGTCACCCACTCAACACCCCACCTTCAATCTCCCTCTTTATCCTGGATATTAGGATAATGCGTTTTTGAGCCCATACCTGGGAAGACAGCCCAGTACACAGACACCAGCCCCCCTCTTCTGTCCCCCCAGAAACTAGGTAGCCCTCACCAAATTCTGGAAAAGTGCTTTGAGGTCTCTGGGTGGGCAGCAGGTTTTAGGGCCACAATTGAAGCCCTGGGCTAGGCCCAAAGGGAAGCCAGAAGAGGGGGAGGGTTTGAGAACAGGACCTTGGCAGAATAATCAACCTACTGCATCTGGCTGAGTTCAGGGATGCTTGGGCAGGGTCTGTGGGCCCAGCCCCAAGGAAGTGTTATCCCTACTGTCAGCTGGAGGCCCTCAGTCTGGCTCCAGATTAGGAGGCAGCTGGTCACACCTCTGCCTCCCCCTCCTTGCCTCAACCCTAACCTACTCTTTAACTCTCCCCTCCCCTCTTTTATCACACTATCACAGGCCCCTTATCCAACTTCTAAGCCCCTTTTGGGGCTGGTCACCATTCTCTCCAGGCCTAGTGCCCCTCTCCAGCTCCCATAGACCCTAAAGTTCTCCCTTATTCCCCTCCTGAAAGGACCCTGATTCCTATTTGATGCCCAATGTCCTGAGAACTACTCCTGAACTTCTGCCCTCACAGCCCACCCAGAAATACCCATGACCTGGGCTCATATCTTGCCTCTGACACAACACCTTTGAGACTTTGGGCAAACCATTAAGCCTCTTTGGGCCTCAGCTTCCTCATCTGTAAAGTCTGAGGGTTGGACTAGATGACCCAAGCTCCTGTACGTCTCTGAGACTAAGATCCCCAGGTCTAATCCCTCTGTGGCCCAAAGTATCGGGAGTCAGTCTTGGAGATCTGGCATGGGGTTATCATCTTCTGACAACTTTTGTGTGCTAAAGATCCCAGAAGGGATCGGCAGCTTTCATCCTCTCTGTCAGCCTGTAATTCAGAACAGTCTGAAAAGAGTTGCTGCCACCAAATCTGCCAGGTCTGAGGAATGACAGATTTGGGAAGAGAAGTTGGTCAAACACACCCAAATCCCAAAATATTTATAGCAGCACTTTTTTGTGTGTGATAGAAAGGATTGGTAACAAAGTAGATGCCCATTGTTTGGGGAGTGGCTAAACAAACTGTGGTAGGTGAATAGAATGAAATAGTACTCTGCTGCAAGAAATTATGTATGTGATGAATAGAGAAACATGGAAAGACCTATACGAACATGATGCAGGGTGAAGAAAGCGAAGCCAAGAAGACAGTATACCCGCTAACTAAACAATAAAAGTGGAAAGAACAAGAAAAACCAGAAGTGAGTGTGGAAAATTATAAAGAACAAGCATAACTTGAAAGAAAAGATATGAGAAGACATTCCCACCCCACCCCTCTGCAGAGGTGGGAGGTCCACAAGTTACTTTGTACATATTTTTAGTTTTTTTTGGTGTATTGATGTTATGCTGATTTTTTTCCACTCCTTTTTCTTTTTTTGTTTTTTAAAGTACTATTTGTTATACAGGATGGCTCTCTGGGAGAGGGAGGGGAAAAGATAGTATGGGAAACTATGGCGATGTAAAAAACCAAAAAATATTAATGAAAACTCCTTTTCTTTTAATGCCTCTGGATTGTTTTACAAGCCTTCCTTCTAACAATGCTGGCAGGTCAAAAGTCAATACTTTGACTTGTAAAGTGTTGTTTTCTTGCGTCAAATACTGTTACCAGTAATTGCTCCAATGCTGTGCCTTTCCCCTCCCCACCTATCTTTGCTCTGAAAATACACCCCTGACTGGCCTCCAGCTTGGGAGCTAAGGAACTGTTCTAGTACTGCTTGTCCTCTGAATAATGTAGAATGCCAAGGGAGGGAGGAAGACAATGTCAGAGGCAAAAGGGACCTACCTTAAACATCATCTAGGACAACTTCTGTGTGCCCCACCATCACCACCACCTTTTACAGGGAAGAAAACTGAAGCTTGGAAAAAAAGGAAGTAAATTATCCAAAGTCATACAACTAGTTAGCAGCAGAGCCCAGACAAAATTTTCGGGTCTTCTGTCTGGATGTCCAGAGCTCTTACCTATCTAGCTGTGTGCATTGCAAGAGCAATTCATTGCACTTCCCTGACTTGTCCCCTCATCTGTAAAATGGGGGTAATTTAGGCGCTACTTCTATCACTGAGGCACTATGAGGCAAGCACATTGTATAATCTCTAGGGCATTAGAGAAATGTGAGCTGTTCTTACTTCTACTTCAATGGTATTCTCTTCATTTTCTCTTCTCGGGTATTTCCTCAATTCAAGTTGTTCCTTCATTTGTTCATTCATTCATTATTATTTCAACACTTCAAGGGTTGATAATTTCACTTGGGTAAGATCAATATGCATCCATTCATTCATTCACCGGTATTTAGCAGACTCACACAATGCTCTACCCTAGGATACTGAAATCTTCTAGGATATCCTATTTCTCTCACCTAGAGGTATAATTGGAAATGTTTTCACCAGGGATAAAAACAGTACACATACAAACACACACACACACACACACACACACACACACAAAGGACGTGGCAGTGGCTGAGAGGAGTGGGTAGAGGTCATCAAGGTCCAGATCCTCAGTTCACAGTGGGATAGGCTGCTGTCTGGGAGAGGGGAACGCTTACATAGGCTAGGAGCCACCTGCTTTGGGTCACCATGGTTGGGATGGTCTTTGATAGGCATATGGGGCCCTGGGAACTCTGGAGCCACAATCCAGGCTTTTCCTAAGGAATTGCTTCTGACCGGGGCTGTTACCTGACAAACCAAAGTTCTTTGGTTCCCTTCAGTCCCCACCCCAGCATGCCAATAAAAAGCACGTCCAGGGATTAGACACTTACTAGTATGAAGGGGCCTTCAAATAACCAAGTATTACTTCTCTCAGTAAGGCTGCCTTCCCCACAAACCTCCCCAAGGGCCATGTCAGCAAAGAATCACATAGACTGGACACTAGTTTCAACTAATGTGTGTGGAGAAAATATACGTAATCTCCCAACATAGAAAGGGAGCTCCCTCCATGTCTGCATGTGTAAGAAAACTCTTGCTGCCCTGCCCTAGATGACTTGGCTCACATCTCTGCCTGAGACAGGTGAGAACAAACTCTTACTCGGCTTAGAGAAGCAACAAGAGGAGATAGAAAGAAACCTGGGTTGGGAATGAGGAGATTCAGGGTTCAATATAAAAAACAGTAATAATTATACCATTATTAATAATAAATACTAAAAGTAATGCTATTTGTTGTTGTTCATTTGTTCAGTTGTGTCCAATTCTTCGTGACACCATTTGATTTTCTTGACAAAGATAGCTGAGTGGTTTGCCATTTACTTCTCTAGTTCATTTTACAGATGAGGACATGAAGCAAACAGGGTTAAGTGACTTGCCCAAGGTCACATAGCTAGTTAAGTGTCTGAGGCCAGATTTGAACTCACAAAGATGAGTCAGGATTCCTAACTCCAGTCCCACCTAGTTGCTAAAATACAAAATAAATGACAAGGTGTGGGAAGGTACTATTGATAAGAGTCCAGAGTCCTTGGTGGGGGTAGAGGTTAGAGGAGGACAGACTCTGGTCAGCTGCCCTGGGCTAAGCAGGCTCCTAAGTCAATCAGTAAGCATTTATTAAGTGCCTGCTATGTGCCAGGAACTGTGCTAAGTGCTAGGGATAGATAAAAAAGCAAAAGACAGTCCCTGCCTTCAAGGAGCTGACAATCTAACAGGGGAGACAACAAATATTTACAAACAAGGTATGTACTGGATAAACAGGAAATAATTTACAGAGGGAAAGCACTAGAACTAAGAGAAGTTGTGAAAAGCCTCCCATAGAAGGTGGAATTTTAGTCAGGACTTGAAAGAAGCCAAGAGGCAGAGATGAGGAAGGAGGGAATTCTAAAGTATGGGACACAGCCAGAAAAAAACACTAGGAGCTAAAAGGAGTATCTTGCTCTTGGAGTGGCCAGGTCAGGGTCACTGGATTGAATACAAATACCTGGTCTAGTATTCCAGCTCCTGTCTTAGCTGCTGGCCACTGGCCACTGGCTTGTGATGGGTCCCATGTAAGACAAAGTTCAGAGGAAATATGGCCTCCAGAGGAGACTTAGGAGCTGAGAGGACAAGAGGGAGGGGAAGAGTGCCCTATGGCTTTAGAAAGGATTTACCCAGGGCCTCCATACAGAACACTGGTGTGGAACCTTTAATTTTCTCAGTAAAGGTATTCTGGTTGCAATACAGGATTGAGCCCAGGTCAGCATTTATAACCAGAGGAATCAGGAGGTGGGACGAAGCAAAGGGTTTCCACACATGGATCAGAATATGGGGCTGGGCATAACCGTCAACATGTTGGACTGGACATAGATCAACACATTAGGCTAGACATAGGTCACTAGAGGGGACTGGACTCCAAAGAGGCATCAGAACCATTTCCTCATAGATGACCTTAGGAGTTCCTATCCAGTGGGGATAATCGTGTTTATACTGAGCTCAGTTCATGTGACCTCAAGAATTTCCTCTAGCCCTTGCCACCACAGATCCTTCTAACCCACTTCAACTCTGGAGGCCAACTCTCACCAACCCTCACGACCACTCTCTTTTCCCACAGCGGAAGTCACTTTAAGCTCTAGGCCTAGCAGTTCTGTGTTGGACACACAACTCCCTCTATGGTCCCAAGATGCTGGTAGAAAGGCCCAGCATCTGCTCAATGCTCATTGGGAGGGAGAAGAGAAAAGCTGAATTTCAAGGACTCTAAGAGTAGGGATCTAATGGGGATAGGAATAGGATTGCTCTGGCCCAGGGCTCTAGGGAAAGGGGGCTGATGGTACAGGTGTCCTGATTGTTTGGGGTTGATGGTGGTGGTAGGGGGGGTATATTGTGAGGTTGCTGAATTCACTGAATAGGAGTGAACTGGGATGGAGGTACTGAAGAGGATGAGTGCAGTCTTGATAGAATATGAGGAATGAGTTGAAGGTTCAAAGTGAATGAGGGAGCTCAGTGGAAAATTAGGTGGCTGCAACTGAGTAAGGTGAGGGAGATGAGTGAGATGAATACAGGAGACGAGGTGGAGGCTGCAGCTGATTAGGTGAGGGAACTTAAGAGAGCTGATCTGGGTCCCAAGCCTGCGGGCAAGTTTGTGGGTTGAACCTACAGGTCCAGCTTTTCTCTGGCACTACCTGGGGGCTAGATAGACCCACTGGAATCAAAAAGGGGAAGAGAGCAGTCTTTGATCCCAGCAAAGGCAGGAAGAACATTTGGGGCTGAGGGGCAACTGGTGACAGACTTGGATAGAGTGAGTTGCCTCTCCCCCCTCATTCAAGTTCACCCTTTGGCACTCCTCTCCCAACCCCCAAACCAAGAGCCTTGGGCCACATCCTCAGAGCCCCCAGCCTGGAGCTGACCAATAGGAAAGGAGCTGGGTGGGGCGAGGACTGAGGCCGGAGCATAAAAGGAGGGCCCTTGAGCCAGTGGACAGAGCACTCAGCTTTCATCTCTATCTCCTGCACTCTCATCTCAGGACTGTCACCACCCCTTTGCAACCAGCCATGGTGAACTGGACAGCAGAAGAAAAACAGATCATTTCAGCCATCTGGGCCAAGATTAACATCGAGGAAGTGGGGGCCGCTGCCCTTACTAGGTGGGAGAAGAGACCTGGGCTGTTCCAGGGCTTGGGCTGGGGGGCATGGGGCTAACTGGGTTTAGCTGAAGGCACCTGGGTTGAGTGCTTTCTCTGCTGACCAAAAGCCTGGGGCGAAGAAGAGGGTAGAGGATGGGAAAACCAGCTAGAGGCCATACGTGAATTGGCCTGGGAAAACCTTTGGCTGATCATTCTTTCTCTCTCTGGGTTTCAGGTTATTAGTAGTCTACCCCTGGACTCAGAGGTACTTCAGCAACTTTGGGAACCTGTCCAGCCCCACAGCCATTGAAGGGAACCCCCGGGTCAAAACCCACGGCAAGAAGGTGCTGACCTCATTTGGTGAGGCAGTGAAGAACCTGGACAACGTGAAGGCCACCTTCGACAAGCTGAGTCAGCTACACTCAGACAAGCTGCATGTGGACCCCCAGAACTTCAAGGTAAATACCTCTCTTCCATTTCTCTGGGGGCTTAGGGGGACAAGGCTTTCAAATTCTAAAAACTGGAAGGTACTTCAGTGGGTATATAGTCCAACCTCCTATTTGAAAACCTCCAAAATAGGGAGCTCATTCGTTCACAGGCTCATTTCTTCTTCCCCATGACCAGGCTTCAAGTATTCAGAGACTGACCCTATGCTTTTCCCTACTCCAACCCCAACTTGTCTCTGGGCTCACAATCTCTCTCTCCCTCAAGGATCTTGAAACAGAGTCCCCCTTTTACTCCCTGAGAATGTTGTTTTAAACTCCTAAGAGTGCTAGTCAGAAAGGGCCTTAAAAATCATCTAACTTAATCCCTCTAGTGTAGATGGGGAAATTTAGGCCCAAAGAGGGAACATGATTTGCTCCATCCCACTAATATGAACCATTCACTTAGCACAAGCCAGACCCTGACTTCTGTTCAGGCACATCTTTATTTTTCCAGGGCTTACTATTAGTCCAGCCCTCAGGTGGCACATTATACCCTGCTTCCCACAGGCACGGAACCCTTCTCCTGTTTGTATGGAAACAGCTCGAGCCTGATCCTCTGCCTTCTTTTCCTTCTAGCTCCTCGGAGACAACCTGATCATTGTCCTGGCGGCTACCTTGGGCAAGGACTTTACTTCCGAGGCCCAGGCTGCCTGGCAGAAGCTGGTGGGAGTAGTGGCCGCTGCCCTGAGCAGAAATTACCACTGAGCACCTCAGAAGGGTCACCCATTGAGGACCCACTACTAGGAGAGCTCGTTGAATGGGAGGGAAGGGAGAGGGAAACATGTGCTACCACCACGCATAGTGATTATGGTTAAATACAATAAAGTTGAACTATATGACAAAATCTTTGTTTAGTTGTATCTTTTGGGGAAGGTAAAAAGCAAGACAATGCTTTTGAGGATCTAGGATAAAAGGAAGCTTAGCTGCTTCTTCAAGAGGGTGAATAAGTGTTTTCTTTCCCAGAGACCTCCCTCTCCCTAATTCTGATCATGGAGTCCATATCAAGAATTAAGATAACTCTCGGGAAGTTGAGGTCACAGGGAGCTGCTTCTCGACTTCTGGGTTTCCTTCCATGGCAATGCATATTCCTTTCTCCTCTCAAAAATTTTGCATCCCTCAAGGCTGACCTTAAATCCAACCTCCTTCAGGACTACATTAATTCTATTAACTCCTAAAACATTTAGCATGCTTATCCCTCATTTGGCTCTTGGCTAATGCTGCATGGCACTGTAGTTTTGTTTTCTCAACTAGACTGAAGTCTAGTGAGGGAGGTCTGTACTGCCCCCACTCCCCAGTACTATTCACTGTTGGGGATAAAACATATTTGTTGAATAATTATTCTATTTCCACCTTTGAGGATGCCTTCTTAGGCTATTCTGGTTCTGTAGAGCATCTTTTATTCACAGAACAGAGCATCAGAGCTAAGAAAAAACAAAACATAAAATACCAATCATTGTAAGCTACTTGCAGATGGAATGCTAGGAGAGACAATGTGGCATAACTGGATAAAAAGCTAAACTTTGGATCAGAAAGACCTGAATTTAAATCTAGCCTCTGATGTATTGCATAACCCCTGGAAAAAAGTCATTTCACCTTTCAATACTCCCAGCAACTCTATCAGGATTGCAATGCAAGTGTCAGCTAATCTGTTAATCTGTGTTGTGAGTAGAAATTTCCTCTTCAGGAGCAGGTGGATTTCAGAAAAACCTGGAAAGAACAGGGGCAGCTAGGTGGCACAGTGGATAGAGCACCGGCCCTGAAGTCAGGAGGACCTGAGTTCAAATCCGGCCTCAGACCAAACACATGACACACACTAGCTGTGTGACCCTGGGCAAGTCACTTAACCCCAACTGCCTAAAAAATAAAAACAAAAACACCTGGAAAGACTTACATGAACTGAGGCTGAGTGAAGTGAGCAGAACCAGAATATTGTATACAGTAAGAGCAATACTGTTTGGTGACCAGCTCTGATAATCAAACTTAGCTCTTCTCAGCAATACAATGATCATACAATTCCATAACACTGATGATGGAAAATGCTATCTGTATCCAGAGAAAGAAATATGGAGTCTGAATGCAGATCAAAGCATACAGATTTTTTTTTTTCTTTCTCATGGTTTTTCCCTTTTGTTGTTTTTTTTTTTTAAGGCAGTTAGGGTTAAGTGACTTGCCAGGGTCACACAGCTAGTGTGTGTCATGTGTTTGGTCTGAGGCCGGATTTGAACTCAGGTCCTCCTGACTTCAGGGCCGGTGCTCTATCCACTGCGCCACCAAGCTGCCCCTCTGATTCTTCTTCTACAACATAACTAAGGTGGAATTATGTTTTAATATGATTATACATGTATAACCTGTATCAGATTGCACGCTGTCTTGGGAAGGGGGTAGGAGAGAACGGAGAAATTTGGAACTCAAAATCTTACAAAAATGAATGTTGAAAACTAAAAATAAATAAAAAACATTTATAAAAAGAAGAAATTTCCTCATCAGGAGCTCCCTACATCAATAAAATCATAAGTTAGATCCACATTCCTCACTCCTAATCCCACCCCCAACAGAACCCATCATAAAATGTTAGGATACAGAATAGTGGTGCTGAGAGGGACTTTGAAACAAAGAATATTAGAACATGGAATGCAGTATTAGAACTAGATGGGAATTTGGAAATTTTACCAAGGAAATAAGCACAAGAGAAGAAATGATGTTAAAGGTTATTTCTAAGACTTGAGCCAAGGAGAAAGTTCTTAGCTGGAAAAGAACATTCTTCCCCAAGTCCACTTTTCTTATTCCCCTGTAGGAACTGGAGTGTAAGTTGGGCATGGCCCTATGGCAAACAGAATCCTAGAGAGCTTTTGGCCAAAGCTTTTAATTTCAGTGTTTGGAGGCGGGAAGTGGTATCCTTTCTCTTTCAGGGTGCCCTGGATGGTCATGGCACATGATGAAGGGCGAAAGCATAGGCCAGTGACAGGAAGAGGAAAGAATTATGAAGGTCAGGGCAACAGCAACTCTTGCTGCTTCAAGGGTTCAGATTTTTTAGCCTCCATATATCATTCACTGTACTTGGGGTTCTCCTTTTATAGCAAACATGGGATGCTGCACACACACAGTAGATGTCCAATGAATGAGATGATAGGTGCAACTCATATGCTCCTATCCCTGTTAGATGGGGACTCAGGTGATTAAACTCTTGAGGCCAAGTTATTAAAATGTCTTGATGGCAAAGATACCAAGCCTGATGTCAGCAAGGTTCTATCTCAATCAGTAGATGCTCTAGTCTGAGCCACCTATACTCCATTCCTATTAAGAATCAGCAATAGAGAATGAATCCTCCTGTGCAGGCACTATCATCACTAATGTCTGCCAAGAAGAAACAAGCTATACATTCCTCATCTTGTTTCCTCGTATTAAGGTAGAAGAGAAGAAAGTTCACCATAGACCACCACCTCTAGGGACTCGATTACAACAATAATAAATGGAATCAAATTGGATATAATTGAGTCACATGATTCAGGCAATTTTAACATTTTGTTGCAAACCCCAATTAAGAGCTATAATGATATCTTAAACTTTGCCTTCTGCTGCCCATTTAATCATTTGACCTTTACTGAATGCCCATTATATGGAAGGCCATGCTGGTGACAGATATGTCCTTACCTTCAAGGAACTCAATCTAGTAACCTTGTGTGGGGGCCTGGAGCAGTTCTGAGGCCAGAGAAAAAGGGTACGAGGTATGATAACTCACGGGCCGTATCAGTAGCTTCCCAGTTGTCATCATCAGTGAGCTAGCTTTCTGGGTAACCCAAAGTAAACTCTTCCTTGCCTCTCACAGTCCCCTAAAGACATATTACTTTGCTAGCTCCATTTCATAAGTTTTAAGGTTTATAAAGTGCTTAACATATATAACTTCCTCTGATCTTCACAACACCATGTCACTGGTGCTAGTCATCTCCATTTTACAGATGAGAAATAAGGCTTATTAATATGAAGATGTGATGACTCAGCCAGGATCACTCAGCTAGGTAGTATATAGGCTTGAGGAAGGACTTGAACCCAAGCCTAGTACTTTATCTTCTGTCACCTTGCCTTAAGAACAAGCAAGAAAAGGAAATAAGCCATTGGTACAAAGTTAATTAGGACCATACTTAGTGGGTACCTCTAGTAGCGCCAGGTACAGAACACAGCTGAGGCCACACACAGGAGATGGGATGACAGAGGGGCTCTATTACCCACTGTTACAGGAATGAGCAGAGATATCGTACTGTCCTCAGTTTTGGTTTACCACTGTTGGACTAGCATACTTCTTGAGTCACAGGGTGGTGTGTTAAGAGCGGCAGTGATCATCCAGATGTCTCAAATGAGGCTTGGTTGGCTATGGCAGTGCTTCCCTGTGTGTAATCACAGCTGCTACACCTCTGGAGCTAGTTAGGGACTCAGGCTGTGGCCACTTGGGTATTATCACATGAACTATCATCTATAAATGGAATGTGCTGGTCCATGGTTATGTGTCTTGCAGATTTGGTGGAAAAATCAAAATCTGACCCTTCACAACTTAACCTCCCTATCTCCCATTACAAGGAAAGGTTGTCCAGTGGTACACATTCTTGTGACAGTCCTACATATCAACTCTACAGAAATACCTGGGATTGTGAAAGAAGGTAGTTTTGAGGTCAAATTCCAGTGCTGCTCATAAGAGCACCACAGCCCACATCAGCACTGGGGAATGGTCACCAGTAACTCCCCGACATCTGCTTCAGAAGTACCCTGCTATCCTGGTCTGGCTAAAAAAATCAGCTCCTTAATCCAACAGAGACAAAACAGGGTTTAAGAAAGAGAGCTTTATTAGATGAGTAAGGGAAGTAACAAAGTATGCTGGGTATAAAGTTTAGGCAAATGGTTACAAAAAAAGCATACAATTGTTAGTTCCAACCCTTCTGGTCCAATCTTATCTGAACCACTGAAGTCCCTAGTCCCTGGTTCCACTGCTTTTAAGACTATTTTGACTCAAATATTTATTTAGTACCTGTGTACAAGGTACTACTTCTCTACATCTCCTCCCCCTTCCAATTTGATGAGGGAGAAAACACTCTTAAGTAAATCAATGTCCTTCTCTAGAAAATTATTTCTACCCCCACTCCTACCTCCCTCAATCTCTCCTTTTAAAAGATCACTTAACAAATATTTTATTAGAATTTCTAAATCCTCCAGGAGAGTGCCCTCGAGAGTAGCTCTATAATCAATAGTCCACTTTAGAGATCTCAAAAGGCAATAATGATTAACTGTAACCTGAATGGGTATAACAGAAAAAGCTATGGTTTGAAGGTGGACAAGATCACTGGAGCACATAAGGAGTGCTTAGGGACAGCTTCATGGAAAATCAAGACAAATCAGCTTTGTAAAAGCGGTAGATGTAACTGCTCTTCTGGACCTGATTCTGACCAGCAAAGGACTGACTGCTTCAGCAAAATGAGAACCTGGGAGAAGACTACATATCTTTAGACTCTTTGCTATACGACAAGAAAACTGGGCTTAACCTGATATTCATCCTTTTTTTTTTCCTCAGAGACCGTTTTTTAAGTTTGAGAAAAGGAATTGCTCGGAGTTTAAGGTCTAACATTCTACAAGTGCCCAAGAGAGATGGAAAGCTAAATTCTGGAGACTCAAGGAAAAGGAAAAATCTGCTTCATCAATCAACAGATTTTTTTTAAAGGCACATCTAGAAGACTGAAGCAAGGGCAGGTAATGGAGAATACAAGAGGGTGTGCCTGTAAAATCAGACAGGAGTACAAAAGCCCAGAATGACCTGAGATTATGAATACTAATAACAAAAAAGGGTTTAGGTAAGAAGCTGCTTGGGGTAGATGAGATTTTAATAGTTAATAAAAAAAAAGTATAATTATCTAACTCTTTGCTTCTATTTTCTCCACTAAAGAGAATGACCTTCAGACTAGGAATAAAAATCCTTTTGGGAGTTTCACTTAAACTAAGACTCATTTTCCTCATCTGCAAAATAAAGGAATTAGACTAGACAACCTCTTAAATTCCTTTCCACAGCTCTAAAATCTGTTTCTCGGTAGTGCTATACTAAATTCTTTTCTCTGTGTTAAAATTCCTAGACACTCAGTAGACAAAGTAGATAAAACACATGTAGCAAAGCATCTACCAATGTAATCTCATGCTGTCCTCAAGGACGTGGGCGAGATAGTAGTCTGCTAAATTCAAAACTGACTGGATAACCAGCTCCAAATAGTAATCATAAATAGGCTCTTAACATTTTAATCAAGACACTGAAGTCTTTCTCACACTTGGATTTGGAAACCAACTTCACAAGTACAAGATGGGGGAAGTGTGATAGTGAACTGTAAACTTCAATGTCAATGGTGTGTGGTATGGCAGAAGTGAGTGTGATCTTAGGTTCTACTGAGACACAGTATGCAGAAAAAGGAGCCAATAATCCCATTATTTTCTGCTTTGGTGTCACCCTACAAGCAGAGCATTCTGTTTAATTATGGGGACTGTATTTCAGGAAGGACATTAATAAGCCATAGTGTTCCTAGAGGACAATCAGCTGCATGGTTGACTTTCCAGCATCCACTGGCAAGTACCTTCATCAAAGAATAGGATAGAAGCACCACCATACTTCCCTATTTCCTGGGGAAGCTAAGGGAATAAACATTTATATAGCACATACTATGTGCCAGGCCCTGTGCTAAGTACTTTACAAACATCTCATTTGATCCTCACAACCCTGAAAGGTAGGTGCTATTATTATTCCCATTTTGCAGTTGAGAAAACTGAGATAAAAAAAGACTTGCCCAGGGTCACACCACTAGTAAAGCATATGATGCTGGATCTGAACTCTGGGCTTCCAGACTCCAGGACCAATGCTCTACCCACTGTTCCACCTCTATTTCCTGGGTACCACATACGATGATCTTGCCCCACTGTGAATTCCTCTAACCGTGTCACATATGGGAAGAGTATGACATCAAACCACTATTTAATAGGCTGGGATGGGCTGACAGATATCATCTAATCTATGCTTTTCTTTTATAGAGAAAACTGAATTGCAGATAGGATGACACGTTCAAGGACACATAATATTCAAACAAGGTACAAACTTATGCCTTTCTACTGTACCACTGTCCTTGTTGTAGAATGGAAGAGCTAGGCCTAATTTTCTGTTCCATCACTTACAAGGTCATATCACCTTGGGCAAAACTGCTTCATTTTTCTAAATCTCACTTTTCTCATCTGTGAAATAGAATAATGTAGATGTTAAAAAAAAAAAAAGACTTGTTATATGGTAAAAGGAAGTTACACCAGCATATCTATCTTGCAGAATTACATTCCATTTTGCATAGATATTTGTGTGCGCTCCTAAGAGAGGGTAAACTGATTGAGGGAAGAGACCATACCTGACAATTCCACATATACTCCTCCTACCATTGGGAACACAGTAGATCCTTAATGTTTGTTGACAGCAAGGAGGCACATTACTTAATTTTGTAAAACGAAGCATATTCGCTAAAGTTCAACTTATTGTGGCATGGAGATGACTTGGTTCTTAAAAGGCTCTGACAGTACAGCACAAAGTCTGGAAGACTCCACTAAGCTAAAAAGGATCTGATGAAAGGCAAATGAGGGAAGGAACCTACTAAGACCTTGAAATGACTGCAATTTTGCCTATTACAACTCAAAGCATGAAGGGTTTGTAATCTGTACACCACACATGCATGACAGCATTCTTATCTCCTGTGTGACTCCTAACATTCCATCCTCATATCTACTTTTCCGGTTTTCTTCAAAGTCCAACTTCATGAGGTCTTTCCTGATCTCCAACTATTATTGTATTCATTCCACGTGTACTTGCTGCACATGGTGTAAGCTCCTTGAGGGCAGGGCCTGCAACATTCTTCTTACTGCCTAGCACACAGTTGGCATTTAATAGAGCAAATAGTCTGTGCCTATTTCCCTAGCTCCTAGTGAGATGAGAGATACTAACAAACAGAACTAACTTTATACAATCTTCCTTCACCGCCACTCCTTACCTAAGGAAGCTAACAAAAGGCTCACGAAGGCTCCAAACTTCCAGGGTGAGGATATCCGCTTGAAGTACGCTGAAGTGAGCTTCTCTGCCCTTCCCCATCTCCCCCCCTTTTTGGAATCCTTGGTTTAGTCTTTTAGCCTCAGCTCAAGTGCCAACCTTTGTATGGTTTGCCTGCTGTGAGTGCCCTTCTACCTGTCCCCATGAAGGCCTTGTATCTGTTTATATTCACACACCTGCAAACTGCTTTCTCCATGAGAACACAAAGTTGTTGCTCGAAAGGACTACTCGTTCTGTCTTTGTATTGTCACTACCTAGCACAGTACTGGTCCTTAGGGAATGCCCAAGGATTTGTTCTACTTTGACATTTTCCATTTAATTCCCCAACAAAAGAACAGGCATAATTCCAAGGAGTGAGAGGGGACTACCTATAGTCTGCTCAGCCAGGAATCTCTTCATATCCAAATGGATAATCATGGGATAAGCAAAACCTTTCCCTGAGTGCACAGGTCCCAGGATCCATATTGAAGGCTGCTTTTAAAGATATGGCTCAAAACTTGACAGGGCACATAGGGTCTTGGCACATATTTACAGAAGCTTTGGGATATACATCCAAAACCTCTCATTAAATTCATCTAAATCATTCTAGAACCAGCTAACATTTAAGTTTTCTCTACCCAACATTCTTTTATAGCCAAGAAGTCTCTTTCTTTTCCCTCTGTTTCAACAGAATCTAACTTTAATCCCTCCTAACAAAGATTTCTGTAATTAAATTACTTTTTATTATTCTTAACCAGGGGTGGGGAACCTAAAGCCCCACCACACGTGGTCCTTCCAAGTCCTCAAGTGCAGCCCTTTGACTGAATCCAAACTTCACAGAACAAATCCTTTCAATAAAAGGATTTGTCCTGTAAAACTTGGGACTCGGTCAAAACGCTGCATCCGAGGACCTAGAAGGCCACATGTGCTCTTGAGGCCGCTGGTTCCCCAACTCTGATCTAAACAATTCAATTCTTAAATAGCATTCTTGAAAAATGGGCAAAAAAAAAATGTGACATACAAGAAAGTGTACTACATTTAAAATCAGAATATCTGAATTAAAAATTCTAGGTCTGCTTACTGTGTGACCTTGGACAAGTCATATTCCTTCTCTGGATATTAGTATTTCATCTCTAAAATGAAGGTCTTGGAATTTAAAGATCTCTTGGTTCCCCTTCCCAGTCAAAATCTTTTGATATTTAGGGTAGAAAAGTAAAAAGAGCTTTGGGCTGGGACTCCTAGCTTTTAATATCCATATGTTTTTTTTAAGACTTTTGAGGAACTAATCCTGTGAAGAATGAGTAGCCTCGCTATTAGGAAAATGTGGAAAAGTCAAGGGCCAAGTATTCTCAGGAACATTAAACACAACAAATGGGGATTTAACAGAAGACTACTTCCATGTTCTACTACTGTAACTTCCTAGACCATTCAATTCCCCATGGCATCACTGAGCACTAAGACAGGACCTAAAGAAAGTAATCTTACTGGCACAACTGAAGAGTTTGCTTTTCTGAGCATGCAGTGAATGTCCCCTAAATTACAGTTCCCTTGGAATAATAAGACTTACCAAATTCAATTACACATTTGCAGAAATAAAAGCAAAGCATATCTCCTGCTAAAATAAAAAGCTAAACAAGAAATTACCCAAGTTCTACTCCAAGCGACATAAACATAAATCTTTAATGTGAGTTAGACTGGCAAGAGAACAGCGGATTTTACTTACATTTGTATACTTAGACCAAAATTCCTCATAAGCAAAGGTGCCACAAAAGAAACAACTCCCAGTTGTCATGAGATTTGCAAAATGTTGCACAAACAACAAATTGATGTAATGTGGGTTCCATTCTACCACTGCCTTTTTAATGTGGAATCCATTATCAGAAGCTTTGGGACACTAGGTCCATTTTGTTCAAGAAAGAGAAACACACCAAGGCCATAGGCCTAACCTCTCCTTGGGGGTTGAGAGCAGGAGGGAAGGGCCATGGGGGACGAGGAGTACATGGAAAAGGAGAACCCTGAACATAGTAGAGACTACAAATAACCCATAATTAAAATGTAATAGTTGCTGGAAAAAACAGAACTAGATTCCTGCAATAGCTAAACATGCATCAATAAGACCAAACAGACCAAGAACAGCTCTGTATATCCACAGAAACTTAACATGGGAGGGTCTATGTTAAAAAGAAAAAAAGTTTATTAGAAGCTCAGCTCCTCAAAACTCTCCTCCCCACTTAAAACTAAAAAATGGAAATTTCTGTAATATCTACAAATAACATGTTCACCAAATTTGAAAATATTCATTTGGTATCAATGTAAAACAACTGCTTTATGGAATTAAAACAAATTAGTCCGTGGGATAAAGTTTAAGAGACTGCAGTCAAAGCTACTTGGCTGCCTCAAGAAACAGAAGAAATCAATTCAGATGAAGAGATTAGTTATGTAATCAAGTACTATTCAAAAAAATAAAACAAAAACAAAGAAAAAAGAACTACGGCAACCCTAGAAGCCCAGGTGCTCACGCACCAACTTTTTAACAGTGCCCCTACTGACGAGAATTTCTGGATATATAATTTGATTACATATTGATTTATCTTTGTCTCAAATATAAGTGGTAAACAAAGAGACTACACTGTAGAATTCAATAAAGACACAATCCCACAAGATCTGTGCTCAAGTCGTATGATATTTTTTAAAGGGGTCAACCTGTACTATACAAAAATCAATTCAGCATATGTAGACTCTTTATAGGTGCTTTATGCACCGATGTTTTAACTTAGGAGGGATCCACAAAATACAGAATGAACAAAAGAGCCAAATTTATAGCCAATTTGATTCTGGCTTTTAAAATCAGATAATTTTAAGTGACTCCGGGCATCCCACCCATAAGGTACACAAGGTGCTCTGGTTACCTTTCTGAAGCAAAAATGTCTAAATGGAGAGTACAAATAATAATATTCTGGACTGGAAGCATCAGATAAGAGAAACTCAAAATGAAGTGGCCAAATATTTTAAATTCTTGATTCTTCTGTGTATAAACCTAACAGAAATAGCAAATTCAGCACCAGTAGTAATTATGTTATCAACTAATCTTATAGTTCAAGTCTCTGAAAGGTCAAGGTGAATGTTTTCTAAAGGACATAAATGGGGGAAGGGGGGAAAGAGGGAGGGGAAATGATTACATTTCTGACCATGGGGCTAACTGCTGCATTCATTGGGGTGAGGCAACCAACAAGTTACATGGGTGTCACTGGCCTATACTGAAGACAATCCATCAGATCATGTTTTCTTATATTCTTACTAAACAAAATTCCAGTAAACGGTATGTAACTCTGTATCTCTATAAACTCACAGCTATCTTCAAAACAATAAAAATTTAAAACTACAAAAGATGAGTTGTATTCAGCAAATATAAATGGTAAATTTAGGCTGTGTGTAGAATGTTTATCAGACTATTTACAGTGCAACACAGAGTGTGAGTTCAGATCTCGCCAGCTTCTCTTTCTTCTGATCTCTTTGAACCAGCGTTGCCATTTGTACCCTCATGCCTTTTATCAGCAAAGCTCTTTTCCCTTCTCTCCTTATCCTGGGACTTCTCTCTTGAAGACTGATCTCTAGATCTAGGAAAAAGAAACACCAATCAATCAGTAGAAGTTGAAAAAGTTTCAATGGGTAGGTAGTTTCCCTCCTGATTACATAGGTGACTGTTAGCAAATCATAAGGCAGTGGGACATAAAAACAAAAGGGCAACTACATACTATATACTTTGTAGTGCCAAGTCAGGCAGAACATTCCCATTAATTTGATGTCAGGATAATTATGCTGAAGTATGAATTTATGTTTGACCACACTGGCCTCTGTTCAAAACATAAATTCTAGGCCTATGACAAGCACTCACTCTGCTGCTAGGGTGAGGATCTACTTGAAATCAAGCAGCACTCATATGAGATATGGCTCCTGACAATCACATAACGAATGTTCCATGAACACTGCTCATTCTCCCATCCCTCAAAACCCCATTCTGAGCCTCACCTCCATCTTCTCTCACACACTGCCAAACACTTCCATGGTAACCAGCAAGGAATTAATTCAGGTCTTTTGCATACTGAGTTTTTATTTCAGTTAACCTCACCAAACCCCCAGGTCAAAATTCCTGGCTAAAAACTTTTAGGACCCAATGACCCTGGTAACACAAAGAGAAGGAGCTCACTCCTGGTTGCTGTTACGTGAAGGAGTCAGAGTAGTTACTTGTGTTTCGAACTTCTGTCTCTGGAACCTCGTCGATGACCCCTGCTATGGCTACGTGAGCGGCTTCGGTGGCGCCTATGTCTGTCCCGAGATCGTGACCGGGACTTTCGCCTCTCACGAGAGCCTGACCTTGACCGCCTTCGCCGCCTGTCCCGAGATCGTGACCTAGTTAGTGGTGGCAAAAACTCAAAGCTATAGATTCTGAAAAGAATAAATAATACCACACATTTACATAGCATGTGCTTTATATAGATTTCATTTGAGCCTCACAACCCAACAAGTTAATAATCAAACAGGTATTTCCCTAATTATGCAAAATGGGGAAAAAGAAGCTCAGAGATGAAGTGACTTACCTAAAGGCATACAACTGATAAACAGCAGAGTTAGGTTTCAACTCAATTCTTCTCATTCCCTAATTTAGGGCTGTTCCCACTATACCTCAGCTGTTTTATATAAAAATGAACAGACTGAAGTACATTCCAATATCCAGAACGTTTTAGCAACCTACCAAATTATGTAGAGTACCCCTCTTACATATATTGCTGACAAATAGTATCTAGTGGAACCAATGATCAAAGCTAAGACAAATATCAAAAAACTTTCTTAAATTTTTTTAAAAATTTTCAGTTCCAAAGAAATAGTATAGCAAAAAGCTTTCTAACAAAGTTATAGCAAAGCATATGAAATGGTTTTCTATGGAAGTAATGCATTTCCTGTCACTGCAGGGTTTGAAAAATAACTAGGTGGGCAGTCAATACAGGGTAGGGCCTGGACTCAGGAAGACCTGATTTCACATCTGGCCTCTGACACTTACTAGGTATATGACTTTGGGCAAGTCACGTCACCCTGCTTGCGTCAGTTTCCTCCTAGGTAAAATGAGCTGGAGAAGGAAATGGCAAACCACTCCCAGCATTATTTGCCAAGAAAACCCCAGAATGGGTCACAAAGTCAGAAACAACTGAACAATAACAAAGATGTTATAGAAGCAATTCACACTCAGATTCTTTAGTCTACATGACTTCTGAAGTACCCTCTAATTCTGGGATTCTATGTCACTGGTGAATGCCAAATTCACAGTGCCTTAGAACTATGATCTAATCTCTTAACACCACCTTTTACTAACTTCTCTGTATTCTGCCAATTTATCCTGTCATTTGTCCTTTTAACTTATATCTGACGTCCCTTTTTTCCTAATTATCTAATATTTCATCCATGATATTCTACATATTCTATAAAATCTTCCTGAAGACTGAGACTGGTTAAAATTTAATGCTAAAAAGTTCAAGATAGAACATACATGGTGTCTCACTCTATTAACTGCAGTGGGAAATAAAATACCAGCCCATAGTAAAGCACCCACTTATTATGTCAGCCTCTGTTCCTGTTTCTCCTGCTCATCAATAGATCACTGGTCCCCCTATCGACAAGGAGAAAATCTCACCATACTTTCTCACCATACATACACAACACACCCACCTTCTTCGATCTCTAGTTCTTGATCCAGACCTAAAAAAAGAGAAAAAGATGCAAACATTTAATTTTCCACAGCCACTGCATAAACAGCTGAACAATTCACATTTATATGAATAAGTGCTTTCCCCACAACTACTCTCTGAAGCAGGTGGTGTGTTACTCCCACTCTACAGATAATGAAATTGAGTCTTTCAGTCTTAAGAGTTTGACTTGTCCAGTTTCATAGCAAGAAATACAGGAGGCAGGACTTTTGACATACATGTTGTAATGTATTCTGGAGCTTGTAAAAACTACACACTAACAGCAGAACCAGGAGAACCATGTACACGGTAACAGCCACGTTGCGCTATGACTAATGTTGACAGACTTAGTCTTCTCAGCAATGCAAGGATCTAAGACATCTCCAAAAGTCTCATGATGGAAAATGCTATCCATATCCAAAGAACGAACTATGGAGTGTGAATGTACATTGAAGCATACTATTTGCTATTTTTTTTTCTCTTCTGTTGAGTTTTGTTTTCATCTTTCTTGTGGTTCCTCCTATTGGTTCTAATTCTTCCCTACAACACGACTAATATGAAAATACGTTTAATAGGAATGTATATGTAGAGCCTGTATCAGATTGCACACCATCTTGGTGAGGGAGAAAAATCTGAAACTCAAAAGTGTATGCAAGTGATTGTTGAAAACTAAAAATAAATTTAAAAAAAGAACTATACATTAAGTAATTCCATAAAGAAAATTACAGTAAGGTAACCATGATCTAAAATAGCTATGAACATGACTAACGTGGAAATGTTTTGCATGACTGCACATGTGTAACCTAACCTATACAAACTGCTTGCCTCCTCAATGAAGGGGAAGGGGAGGCAAGGGAAAGAAAGAGTGTGGAACTCAAAACTTAAAAAAGAATGCTAAAAATTGTTTTTACATATAGTTGGGGGAAAATATATCTTTTTAAAAGTAAAAAAAAAGTTATGAATCCCTAAAACCCAACTCTAACAATTGCAGCTTAAATGATACCACACTAACTATATCTTGACTTTACAAATCTTTTCTGCTTACAGAACAATTTTTATCTTCTCTTCTTCCTCTAGGAATAAAACATGCAGAAATGAGATAAGGGATAAAATCAAGGGGAGGCTAACTAAACACTATTTTATTGCTTTAAATTTGTTTTCTGCTACATAAACATGGATAAATACAAAATAAAGTTAAGCTTTTACTCTTTTTTCCCGTTACTCCCCCCTTTAAGCATTTTATGTTCTAGTCAACTGTCCCCTCAACTTTGTCCTGCCCCTCTGCCAGATTAAATTCACAGGCCACTCCACAAGACTGGATCACTCTCCTCCCTAATTTCCATCTGTCAGAAGTCTTCTTCTCTTCCTTCCATAAAGCCCTTCCTGATATGAAAGACAGCAGTTACCACTGTTGTATCCTAGTACAAAGGGTGCAAAATCTGAGATCAAAGGACCTAATGTTCAAATTCCATCTGTCACTTACTATCTACTAGCTAGGTGATCTTGGGAAAGTCACACTCTCTCTGGCTTTTCCTCATCAGTAAAATAAAGGGGCGATTTGAACTCAACCTCTACAGTCTTTTCTAGTTCTGAATCTTGGATCTGTGTAATCTGCTCATCAGAAAGAAATCTTTCCACTGCTCTTAACTCACTCTACCTTGTCATACCTATTTACAAACATGTCCTCCACATTTGACGTAAGCTCTATAGTGTTTTCATCTTTGGATTCCTAGTGCCTAGTAGGAACTCACTAAATTTGCAAAATCTTACTCATGTTTTCTGAGAAGCTTTTAAAACCACAAGTTCTTTTGAACTAGCCTATGTGCCATTTGATTTCTCTCAAGTGTGACTGCTGAAACTCACCTTCGGCCCATTCTTTCTTCTCGTTCTCGCTCTTCTCTCTTCCTCAAACGATCTTGATTTCTTTTCTCCTGTTTTTCTGCCACTGTTTTCTAAAAGTAGAGACACTTGTAAGATTTAAATATTGTGAAATCTGAGAGACAAAAACCCACCAAGAGAATGGTCTGACAAGAATTTAAGGGTCTTCATTCTGCCAAGTAAAAAAGTAAGAAACTGTCATACAGAAGAAGTCAATGTCTCTAGGCACATTTCACAAATTCATATGATACAAATCACCTAGGGGCAGCTAGATGGTGCAGTGGATAGAGTACCGGCCCTGGATTCAGGAGGAGCTGAGTTCAAATCCGGCCTCAGACATATAAGACTTACTAGCTGTGTGACCCTAGGCAAGTTATTTGACCCCATTGCCTAGCCAAATAAATAAATAAATAAAAATTAAAGTAAAAATCAATTCAACAAACAAGTACCTCTAGATTTCATCACACTCCAAAGGTAGAAAAAATTTCCCAATCATCTAATTCATGATATTTCAGTGCTTAACAGAGAGCCTAGAACATAGTAGGCACATAATCAAGGCTCACTAACTGAATGACACTGCTTCAAAGTGACAACACTCTTAAATCAACCCAACTTCTTTAAAGATTCTAGATTTTCCTCTTGTAGCTGTGCTGTGAAATTTCTGGTACTGAGTTGCCTGCAAAATCTTACCAACAACCTGCCCACAAGGAAGCATGCTAAAGACAAGCTCCCAGGGCAAGCAATGTGAAAAACTGTCAGCTTTTAACCAAAGAGAGAAGCCCGTTTCAAGTTTGGTTGTGCACTACTCTGAGCTAGGACAATAATCTATCGAGTATGTAAAGCTGCCAGCCAGCACGAAAAAGGTAGAAAGTTTTATTCTGACAGAATTCATTACCAGAAATTCATCAACCAAAGCTTTGCTTTAACTTGAGTAAAAAGAGTCTACCCTTCATTTTCTTCCTGTCCTACTTTCCAAGCAGACTGAAACGTCAGGCCTCAGGCGATCCGGTGAAGTGGGACAGAAAGGCTGTGGCCTCAATATGTCAATATGACAACAGGTAGGACAAACAGTCTCTTCACAGGCATTCTCTGACCAAAAACTCTATTTCTGTGCCTTAGAAACCAAAAATAGGAGGAAGAGTTAGGAAGAAGCCAGGGGTGCTATGATATGCCAGTATTAACAGACTGCAGAGGTGCTCCCACAAAACTAAAGGTGAACAGTCCTTATACTCAGTAGCTGAGATATTTACACTAGAACTTTTAAAAACAGAATAAGGATAGTGTGGCATAATGGAGGAAAAAATAAACACTGATCTTGCAGTCAGAAAGACTAGTTAAAGTCCTAGTTCTTCTACTTACTACCTGTGTGACCTGATCCTTAACAAAACTTAACACAGGAACTACTTACCTTGTCAAAGAGCTCTTCAAAGATCAAATAAGAGCATATGTAAAGTATCTTGTTAAGTTGTAAAACACTACATAAATATCAGTTGTTAAAAAGTATTTAGCCGGTCTTTTACATAAGGAACTTTCAAGTTTAAAAATCCCAACATGAAAGGTTTAACTTAAAAACAGTAATGTTAAAAGCTGACTTTCAGTATAAAATCTGAAGCATCCTGTTACAGAAGTTTGAAAGATAAGGTTTCATTCTTATGAAAAACCAAACATACCTCAAAGGAACTGAAAAGAAAGAAAAGACCTCCTCTTAACAGATCATATAATGAACGTACCCTCAACTGATCCAGTTTCTCACGAATTTGAATAAATCCCAAGTGTAATTTGCCCCCGAAGTGATCTGCAAGACGACGATCATTATCATGGAGACCAAGGTATGCAGAACACACCTCACAGACTCGAAGTTTCTGCTGCTGGAAACTGGATGCTGGCATGGAATTTCTATATTCCTCCTAAGGTGACAGAAGGGGGGAAAAAATTGAGTCAAGATTTCCAACTTTAAATTCCCATCTCTCTTGCCTTCCACCCACCACTCTCATTCTTTTGAAACTGTACTTTGTTGTAAGCTTCCTGACCTCTGGACCCTTGATACTCTTCCTATTGCTATTCTTTGGGCCATCACTCCCATTCTGATGTCACTTGTTTCTCCTCTATCTAGTCTGACACCTTCTAGCAATTATTTTTATAATGTACTCGCTCTCTTCATTTCACCTTCCTTATCTCTAGCTTTACACAAACTGCATTCTGCTATTTATGCTACTGCTAGTTGACTTTAGAGAAGGCTATGCTGACAGGCTGTTTAATCAAGTCAGGTGTTCAATTTCACCTGGGCAAGCACTGTTACTGAGCAATCCCTTTAACTTTCTAATTCCCTGGAGTTCTGAAGCTGCCCCAAACCTTTCCTATTCTCCATAAGCCAATACTGCCCACTCTACATCACTCAGATGATGTCTCCCCGCACCCCATCCCAACACAAACTTTTTAAAGACAGAGACTCCAATGCTCAGCTAGTTTCTCATCAACCAAACCAGTTGACCTTACTAGTGCTTATCTCCTCTGGCTTCTCTCTCTCTCTTTTTTTTTTTGGTGAAGCAATTGGGGTTAAGTGACTTGCCCAGAGTCACACAACTAGTGATTGATATGTGTCTGAGGCCAGATTTGAACTCAAGTCCTCCTGACTCCACAGCCGGTGCTCTATCCACTGCTCTATCCACTGCACCACCTTGCTGCCCCTCCTCTGGCTTCTCTGGAAGATGATCATCTTGGTAGCAAGGCAACCAGTCACTCAGATTTCAAATATCAACACTCAGTATCGAGAAGAATGTTTTGGTGAAATCAGAGTGGCAATGGAGATCTTAAGTATGAAGGAGAAAAATATTATTGAATGAGTGAACATAGGTGGGCCCTGCAGGCACTGAGCTAGCTATTCTCCTCCTAATGTCACCAAACATTAAGGATAGACCCCTAAATGGGAGCTCTATTGAAATCCATCAGACAATGGTAAGAACACTTTTATATTGCATGTTGTACACTTTACAAAGTATTTTGTAAACAGTGAAGAGGAATGATTTGCCCTGAGCCCAGATTGGGGCGGGGACCTGCTGGTTCCTGACTTTCCTCAGTAGTCTAGTAGAGGTTCTGTTGCTGCAATTTTTCTTACATCCTTCTTTAACTTCCCTCCTTTCTTTTCTTTTTTTTCTGGTAAGGCAATTTGGGTTAAGTGATTTGCCCAGAGTCACACAGCTAGTCAGTGTCAAATGTCTGAGGCCAGATTTGAACTCAGGTCCTTCAGATTCCAGGGCTGAAACTCCATCACCTATGGTACAGTACTCTATCCACTCCACCACCTAGTTGCTCCTTCCCTACTTTCTTTAAGGATAATCCTTTCACCTGCAGTCTCTCTGGGACCTGGGCTCTATCAATTATCTCTCTAAACTCTTTCCCTTATGCCAACAAACATACTCAGCTTAAATCTATATTAAAAACAATCTTTCTATTCCCTGAAAATCACTATCACTTTTCTTTCCTTTCATGTTGACAAACTACAAGAGTAGTTTATGCTTACTACTTATATACCAACTACTCACTCCTTTTATTCCTTGCAATCTAGCTTCTACCAAGACCACACAAGCTTAACACTCAAAGATAATAACCTAATTGCCAAAGGACTTTTTTGTCACTTTCCAGTGTTACCCATACCTTGTTACCAGTAATTTCTTAATTGCCAAATCTGATAGTCTTCCCATCTTACAAGGGCTGGAAGTAGAACAACTACTCACAGACTATTAATCAGCAAGGGAACTTCTGACCTGCTCTTTCCAACCTAGACTGGTTTGCCCCTCCCTAGGCAACCAACCAGACATTCCTATTGTTCCTCATACATAATACTCCATAACTTTCTATCTCTATGCCTTTACAAAGACTGTTCCCTCATGCCTAAAATGCACACACACATACCCTCAACCTGGCTTCTTAGAATCCCAATTTCCTTCATAGTCTGACCTCCTACTGAAGTCTTTCTCAATCCTCTCCATTTTCTAGTGCCTCCCATAAACAAAAAAAAAAATTAAATTAGCTTGTATACATTTTATATACACACTTGTGTATACAAGTTATCCCCCCCCCACAGAATGTAAGTTTGTTGAGAGCTGGCACTGTTGCACTTTTGCCTTACTCACCAACACCAAGCATAGTACCTGGCATATAGCAAATACCTCTTAATTCCTGTAACTCTCTCCTCCAACTTTTTTTTTTTTTGCTAGGCAATGGGGTTAAGTGACTTGCCCGGGGTCATACAGCTAGTAAGTGTTTATATGTCTGAGGCCGCATTTGAACTTTGGTCCTCCTGACTCCAGGGCCAGTGCTGTATCCACTGCGCCACCTAGCTGCCCCTCTCCTCCAACTTCTGATTCCATTTTTCCCCATGCTTAAATCTATTTCCCCTCAAGTTTTGTCCTGGGCCCTCTTCTTCTGCATCTCATTCACTTCCAAATCTTAAAATGCCACATTGATTAAGATAGCTAAGAAAAATCTCTCCTTCCAGAGATTTAGTTTCACATTCTCAATTTCTGTTGTACATCTTCACCCAAATATTTCACCAACATTTCAAAGTCAATATATTCATAACTGAACTCAGTACCTTGTTTCTCAAACTCTTGCTTCAAACTTCTGTTCACTGTACGTACCACCATCCTTCCAGTTAACAATCTGTCATGAATACCAAAATCTACCCCTGCAATTTCTCTCCCCTCCTTTCCTTTTCTATTCCCACTGCCAAGATCCTAGTTAGGTAGTCATTATCTCTTACCTGAATCAAAATCACAGGATCTTTGTGTCAGACTATCACAGAAATCTTTGGTTGGACTCTTCCCACTCCCACTATTTTCTTACTCAGCATATCAATCCAATCAACATACAGAATAATCTTTCTAAAGCAAAGTTCTAGACAAGCTACTCCCACATGTCATTTCCTTTGCAAAGACTCTTCATGCTCCCAAATGGATGTGACTGTGATCTCTCTCTTCCCTGAAGGTCTATGACACTTTGTTTTTATATGGTCTAAAGGATTTTTACATACTAGTCTTATCTTCTCTACCACAATCCAAGTTCCTCAAGAACAGAAGTATGAAATGACATCCATCTTCATATGCCCTCTGATGAATGAATGGTATCTGATTATTTACCAGACTCCTATGTACCCGAAACTGCAGAAGTACTGGTACCAAGGCACACTACCTACATGATCAGCAACTTCATAACAATCACTTTCCTCCTCCAAGTCATTTCTGCCAGAAAAAAAAAAATCAGAACCAAAAACTTCCCAGAAATTCCAGCAGTTGGTTCCCCCAGCATTTGAAAAAGCCTAGCAAAGAGCAAAAACATGTTTCTTTAAGACACATTAATAACAAAGGTGTCTTTTTTCCAAAAGCAAAACTACCCTCACCTCACAAAGACTGGAAGCACTTGCTACAGCATGACATAAAGACACCTTTGGTATTTATATAACAATATACAGAAAGAAAAAGATCTTTGTACCCCCACAGAATCTCGAGCAAAGTAGGTAATCAGCAAAGATTTGCTAAACTGGACTGCAAGCAGATCAACGACAATAGAAAACTTCCAACTTGCACAATGAAGATACTCAAAGTAGCCAGGAACATGACCAGGATTTCAAGGCCTGGCTCTACCACTTACGGTGTAACCTTGGGCAAGTCATATTACCTCTTTGGGTTTCTTTAACATCCATAAGACTAAGGTAGTTAAAACTGCCTAAAGCTTTCTGTGAATTTGAGTGAATACTATTAAATGAGAAAAAACACCCGAAGTTGAGGCACTGCAAAGAGCACTAGATATAAAGACCAAGTTTTCAGTGTCTCAGTTTACTCACCTATAAATTGGGGATAATACTTCCACAACTTTACAGAGTGTGAAGCTCAAACAATATGACAGTAAAGGGCTTCATAAACATAAAGTCCTCTATCAACACCAGTTTAAAAAAAAAAGATTTTCAAAGAACAAGAGCTTTATATAAGCAAAGAACAGGAAAAAAAAGTTGGCATTTCCAACACTGACCTTGAACATTAAGAGAAATAGTTATAAGTAATTATATTATAAATAGCATTAAAGAAATAGTGTCATTAAGGATTCCGGATCTCTTGAAACCCAAGCAGTATGCTGAATACGGAAGGCATGTAATTTTTATCACCTTATCTTTTAGCATCCAGAAGAATATGTCAGTGACTTCCACAAAAGATAAAAATTAGAGGGGAGAAACCTTCTGGATACTTCCCTTGAAGAGAACTAATAATATATACTAACCAAAACATGAAATGCATCAGAAATCAAGTTCACATTTGAACGCTGTCACCCACTGTGCATTCTAACAGAATATGGCACAGAACACTGATACACCACACCCCAGTCACACAGGCCTTCATCTTTCTGAGGGAAAACAAAATACAGAACAAAAAGCCCACAACACAAAGCCAATGATTGTTGTTTTGTTGTTGTTTTCTTACCAGCCCTGTGATTCACTGATGTAGGGAACTCCTGATGAGGACACTCCCTCAATGCAGTACTTAAACCCAAATTCAAATATTCTTAAAGGCGGAAGGAAATCACAGCCCAGCCTCTGGGATGGCTGGGGAGAGAAGTCTGAGGAAGTGCCTCCAGAGATCTCTGAGCTTATCCTTTTCCAGAAGAGCATGAATCTTCTCATCTGAGCAGTTCCCATACCTAAATTGGGTACTCACATGAGTTAGGCAGAGATGATCTCCACGATGATCAATGCAAGAATATTCGAAACACTATCTCCAACAAGTACTCATACAACTTGTTGGAAGACACCCAATGATGACAAACTCATTACCTCCCAAAAGTAATTCATTCCTCCAACTACTATATTAAGAACTTCTAATAATACACTGAAATTTGTGTCCCTGTAATTTCTACTCAATGGTCCTAGTGCTTCCTTCTGCAGGTAAACAGAACAAATTGAATTTCTCTTTTGCTGAAAAGACTTCTGAATATCTGAAAACACATTTCCCCCGCCCATCCCCAAGTCTCTCTTTTCTTAAGGCTAATCAGCTGTAGTTCCTTCAACGCAATCTCTTAAAACATGTTAATCCTTCTTATACTTGTCTCTCTCTCTCTCTCTCTCTCTCTCTCTCACACACACACACACACACACACACACACACACACACACCCCATCCCAGCTTAGGAAAGGCCTTTCTGAAATTAAGTTTCCTTCCAGAACTATATACAATATTCTAGCTATAGTTAAAGAAAGGGAGAACACTAGTTGCCCTCATGCTGGACATTATATATCTAACAATGTAGACTAAGATGACATTAGCTTTTTTGTCCACCATGTCAAACTATTAAAAGTCTATTATGAGAATCTTGCATCAATGATAGGATGGTAAAATAGAAAAGTACAAACGTTTGAATCTCAGCTTGACCTTTTTACTAGTCATGTTTCCTTGAAAAAGTCATTTCTTTGAGCTTCCGTTTTTCTCAGGTAAAAATAGTTATGTTATCTGCCCTGAAGCCCTTATGAGTATTAGAACTTCTTAACAAACCTCAGCTTCTTTTTTCTTTGCTCGAACTTTCTCCACTTCCATAAGGATCTTCTGGGATTCATCCACATTTCCTTCAGCTCCCAGCTGTTCAGCTTTAGCTAGCAGTTTGCCAATTTCTTCATTCAATTCATGTACTTTTTCTGCCTAGAGGAGAAAAGAAGAATCGTGAACACAAGTCTGAAAACCTCTTGCAACATTCCTACTGTGTTTCAGAAATGTGTGTTCAAGGAATTGGGGTCATATGGAAGCAGTCCCAAGAGCTATACTATGGTTTATATTAAGAATGTAACTTTTTCTTTCTTGAGATAAATGTTAATTGTTGAGACTTTGAATTTAAAGTGTATTCCAGTTTTTCTGTTACTTCCAATTTAGTCTTTGCTCACAATGCCTACTTTACAGGTAAATCCCAACCCTTCTAATCATAGCTCAACCTTATTCTAATTCTCACTAGTCAAATGTCATAAAAAGTAATCTTTCTAGGGTTAAAAGATACAATGAAAACACACACTGGTTTTCTTCGACATGTCAAGATCATATACTATTGAATAATTTTTACCTTAGCACCATTTAACTCTCTCCCTATTTCAAGACGAAAAATCACTAACGCAAAAAAGACAAAGTCAGTATAGCAAAAAAAGAACATATGACTGGGGAATCAGGAATTTAGAATTTTAGAAACTAGCTGTGTACTCTTGGGAAAGTGAATTCTCCCTGAGCTTTAGTTTTCTTACCTGTACAATGGCTAGGTGATCACTAAGGTCTAAGCTGGATTACATGAGTTCTGATGTTCCTTCCAGTTCTAACATTCTGTGATACATGTACTTTATTAATTTGCTTTACCATTACACACAATGTTTATTTTCAACAGTTCCTACTTTGGACATAACTTTAGCATTAGAAAAGAATGATACAGTGGCAAAGACAAGGAGAACTGAAAGTGAAATTTAAAATTAAGTTATAGGTAATTTCTGCTGAAAAGGATTCTTTACTGTTGGAAACACTTCTTTTCTGTTGAAAAGAAAACAGTCCCATTAACCATGATTTTCCCCAAAGGCAAAGACTAAGCAAACTGTATTTCTAACAACATCAAAATGACTGAAAATATTCAGGTAACTGGGGTTCATAGCATTTACAACTCAAAAGGACATATTCAAGGGTCACACAAAGCAGTAAGTAGAAGATCTAGGGTTTAACACAGTTTCCAAGTCTAAATTCAATGATTTTGCTGTACTATACATCACAATTACCCCCATGCCTCTTTAGATTAGTCTGAGAATTTAGGGAGTTCTAGGATGGCAACAATCAGGGACATATTTATTTTGGGGTATAATTAAAATACTTGAATAGTTCAAGAATCTGTCATTTTTCACCAGTGTTTCATCCACTAAATTATCCAATTCAACTAATACAATGGGCCCCAGAGAAAAGCTCAGAAAATATTTCTCCTTCCTGTAACTGTAGAGGTGGAGGACAACCATGGATGTAAAATACAGCTCTTATTACCAGAAACAGCTGATATGTTGGGTGGTTTTGGAGAATGGCCAGTTTCCCCTTCCTTGTGTATAACAAAGGTAGGGTGGGTGGGTGGGTGGGGTGTGTGTGTGTGTGTGTGTGTGTGTGTGTGTGTGTGTGTGACATATACACATACATATGAGAAATAAGTGCGAGAACTGGGTCCTGGCAATGCCACTGAATCATTACTTGAAAACTTCTGCTAAAGATTCTTCAATAAGTAATATTTAAGTTAACATTTCCTTTCTCTTTTAAGACAATTCACTTTCCCTTCTGGGGCCTCAGTTCTCACCAGTTTTAAAAAGGGGGAAGTTGAAGTAAGTTGCTAGATTTCTTCCAACTCTCTGACTATTCATGAAAAATAAGCAACCCCATGAAAACTATCTCCAATTTGCTGAATCTGACATTCACCTTTCTGCCTTTACGTTACACATGTCTTAACATACATCTTCAAACATTTCTGAGTCTCAAAAGTATTCCCTCAATTTTACCTAGTAAGTAGTTTAATACAATGCCTTGAAGATTTCCAACCTGGCAAAGTCTGCCGCCTGCTTTTTTCAAATCTTGCATTATTTTCAAGAACCCCGTGTCTTCCCTCTTCAGGAGAACAGTAAAACTACTAACAGAATACAAGGGTAATTTTTTTTTCTTCTTGAGTGGCCAATTGGTCCAAACCTTAAAGGGCACATCAACACAGGATCTAAAGCTCTAGGATCCTGGTTGTTCTTTTGCTGGCTTCTAAGCCTTACTTAAAGGTAGTCTATTTTTTTGGTTAGTTTATATCAAGTACACTCACCAACATTCACATACTATCAATGCCACCCTAATGTGCAGAAGACTACAACGTGGCTTAAATTGTTTTAAGGTGTGTTTTTGTCATTTCAAATTTTCTTTTTTTATTGTGAATTTGTTGTGAAACCAACAATCATCAACAAACTGTTCTAAGTATTTTTCTTGGGTACTTTGATCTGCGTCATTTCCTGAGTAAAAAGTGCCCAGAAGTAAGATGGAAAATCTTTCCTCCTCTTTCCATTAGCCTGAGAAAATGGGATGAACCCACAATATAAATTTGGTTGGGATTAAAATCTGGTAAGAATGGGTTATCCCTATTAGTTCACTTATTCCAACTAGCTTAAGGTTTTTGTCTTTTTCTTCTCCATTAAATTGACAGATGGTACTAAAGAGTTAAATGGAGAACACTTAGTAATTCTGGGTTTTAGTCAACAAATTTTTACAAGGCAGGATGGTCATTAGATTCTCTAATCATTAATGCTGCTTCTGCAGTTTACTTCAGTAAGTGAGAAACATTGAGGGATCTTCATTATTATTAGTTATGAAGGTGGTAGTCAGTCTTCATGAATGTTACACATTCAAGATTTAAATAATTCCTTGGACAAGTAATTTTTTTAAAGACGCAAGATTCCAAAAGCTTTTCATTAATAGGAATGTAGGAACTTAATTAAACATTTCATTAAGTGATACTACCTTTGCAGAAACCTCAGCACTGATCTCTTCCTGTGTTTCAGCAAGCCGTTTCTTAGCAAGTTCAGTTCTCCTGTCACACTCTGCAATAAAGGACTCCAGATGATCCATTGCCTGCATTTAAGATAAATAGACAGCTATAATCACATGTTTTCTTCCAGCACTTAGAACTTATAAAGTATAACTTAAGGTTAGTTTCTTACAGCTAGGAAGCTGGTTTAAGAGAAAAACTGCAAGACACACATGGCTCCTACATCACCTAAAAAACAAAACCCACCAACCCTACCCAAATATTTCACAGACGAATTTCAGAAGTGTTTTCTTGAAATTTATTTTTTTTTGTTCCATAATCTTTTTAAAAAGTGAACTCAAGAAGGGGACAAATACAAAGGCACAACAATTTTTTTTCTTCAAATGAAAAAGCATTGAGGTATTTTTATAAAAACATTAATTTACTTAGAAAATTTTCAGGAAAAATTAAATGTTCCCTGAGATCTACCAAGAGTTGAAAAAAAACAAAAAAGACCTTTGCTGGAGATTCACAGAATATGTATTTAATATACAATATAATATGTAAAGACAGAGATATGAAGGTATTTCATCCAAAAAGCCAAGGAGAAAACTTTATTCTAGTAAGAATAGGATAATTTTAGTCAAAAAAGGATAAAATTTGAAAGGAGAAATACTTTAAAATGCAATAGTAGACTCTGAGGGGAAGAAAATGGTTAATCTTATTGTTAACTAGGAAAAGAATGAAAGATACAATTTCAGATAAATGCTTAAATGCAGATGACCTTAGTGGAAAAATGATATCCTAATATGGATTGGCACAAATGCCTGACCAAACTATAAACATGTATCTTGTCATATGATCAAAAATTTAGGGCTAGATTGTTGGTGGAGTTGTGAACTGATCCAACCATTTTGGAGAGCAATTTGGAACTATGTCCAAGGGGCTGTAAAAATTGCATAGCCTTTGACCCAGCAATAGCACTTCTAGGGCTGTATCCCAAAGAGATCATAAAAATGGGAAAAAGACCCACATGCACAAAGATATTTATAGCAGCTCTTTCTTTTTTTTAACTTAATAATTACTTGTTGATTATTTTTTTAATTTTCTTAAATTAATTTATTTTGATTTATCAACAAGCACTTCCATAGGCTTTTGCATTTTAAATTTTTCTCCCCCTTCCTCCCCACCACAGCCACAATCTGATATAGGCTATACATACACATTTCTATTAAACATATTTTCACATTAGTGATGTTGTAAGTAAGAATTAAAACCAATAGGAGGAACCACCAGAAAGAGGAAACAAAACTCAACAGAAGAGAAAAAAAAATAGCAACTAGTATGCTTCAATCAGCATTCAAATTCCATAGTTCCTTCTTTGGATGTGGACAGCATTTTCCATCACAAGGCCTTTGGAGATGTCTTAGATCCTTGCATTGCTGGGAAGGGTTAAGTCTATCAATATTAGTCATCGCACAATATGGCTGTTATTGTGCACAATGTTCTCCTGGTTCTGCTCAATTCACTCAGCACCAGCCCATAAAAGTCTTTACAGGTTTTTCTGAAGTCTGCCTGCTCATCATTTCTTACAGCAGAGTAGTATTCCATTACATTCACATACCACAACTTGCTCAGCCATTCCCCAACTGATGGGCATCCCCTCAATTTCCAATTCTTTGCCACCACAAAAACAGCTGTATAGCAGCAAGTTGTGGTATATGAAAAACCTACAAAGACTTGTATGGACTGATGCTGAGTGAAGTGAGCAGAACCAGGAGAACATTGTACACAGTAACAGCCATGTTGTGCGATGACTAACTTTGATAGACTTAGCCCTTCTCAGCAATGCAAAGATCTAAGACATCTCCAAAAGTCTCGTGATGGAAAATGCTATCCACATCCAGAGAAAGAACTATGGAGTTCGAAAGCAGATCAAAGCATACTATTTGCTCTTTTTTCTCTTCTGTTTTGTTTCCATTTTCTGGTGGTTCTTCCTATTGGTTCTAATTCTTCCTTACAACATGACTAATGTGAAAATGTTTAATAGGAATGTATATGTAGAACCTGTATCAGACTGCACACCATCTTGGGGAGAGGGGGAAGGAGGGAGGGAGAGAGGGAGAGCAAGAGAGAGAGACAGAGAGAGAGAAATTTAAAACTCAAAAGCTTATGGAAGGGGAAAGTAGGTGGCACAGTGGATAAAGCACCAGCCCTGGAGTCAGGGGGACCTGAGTTCAAATCCTACCTCAGACACATAACACTTACTAGTTGTGTGACTCTGGGCAAGTCACTTAACCCCAACTGCCTCACTTAAAAAAAAAAAAAGCTCATCAAAGTGATTGCTGAAAACTAAAAATAAATTAATAAAAAAAAGTTACTAATTTTTTTTAGGTCTGGCTCAAATATCTCCCCATTTCACAGACAAGGAAACAATGATCTCAATATGGAACAAATTGTCCAAGATTGCCAAGTCAGTTACTGGCAGACCCAATTTGAACCTTTCATTGTTTTGACTTAAAATTCAGTGCTCCTTTCACTACAGACCATGTTAACAGATGATAAACTTTAGGCTATCTGAAGTCTTATAGCAACCACCCTTTAAAAAATATTAAGAGCAAAGAATTTTAAATACGTGTTACAAATTCATCCTGTTAAGAAAAAGTAAAAAAACAGTTGTTCGAAAAGGGTGATGATAAATTTAAATATTCAAATTTAACTATAGAAGGTGGCAATCAGTCATTCTCTAACTTTATCAAGGTCACAATTAGGACAAAATAAAAAAGATTTAGGTTAAAGAGATTAACTTCCTAATAGGATTTTTTTTAATAGAAGAAAGGCCAGTCATAGGGAGGAGATCTCTGGAGATCTTTAAAGCTACAGGTATTTATTTTCCAGAATGGTTTAGTAAACAGTCTGAAGGGAAGCGACCCTATGCTAATATCAATTTTATAAGCCCAACTAAAAAAACTACTAGTCAGTTGAGATACCTAGTAAGAACTTAATAAATGCTTTATTCATTTATTAAATTTCCAGTGGCTTAAAATCACACTACATGCAAAATCTTAGAATAACGTTACTGGAAATTCAGTTTGGAACTCATTTTCCTAATACAGGTTACATATTCTTAGGTAATATGAATACTTTGCTAACTGTTTAAGCAAAAACTCAAGTAGGAAGATCGAAACACTGTAAACCAAAACCAAACAGAAAACTTTAAAAATCTCTAGGTATGCTCTTACATGAGTTAAAAAATATTAAATGGTTGATTAAGTTAAATAACCTGACCACTATAAAGTTCAGAATACAATATATGTATATAGGTCATGGTTATGTTAGGAAATATACTCTTTATCACCACCATGTTATATTTACTTTCTTATTACTTCAGCACCTAGAATAGTATATTTTCTGCTCCTAGTCACATATGCTGACTCTATTCACACAGTTAGACCAAAGTCCACTACAAATTTGTTATCTTACTTCAGAGGAAATCTTTTTATTCCTTCTTAACTTCTCTTCTCCCCTCAAGCATGCCACAATAGCCCTTCCCCCAAGCTCTCAGCGGAGATCCTATCATATGTGACTAGGAAGTCATTCCCCACAATCTGCCTCCTCTTCTCTCAATATCTCAAAACACTTTGACAATTATCCTCTACTTCTTCCTCTAGTCACTAATGAAGAGGTGGTCTTCTATATACCAAGATCAATACCCCTACTTAGACCTATTTCTTTCATTTCTAATCTTTACCCAGTTATTAGGCCTTTCTCTGCTGCACACAAAAATGCTCAAAATCTTCCCCTGGCCTTAAAAAACTACCACTAGAATCCCACTATCACCACTAGCTATTGTCCCATATTTTCCTTTCCTTTTTCAAACTCTTTTAAAAGGCTCGCTATACTTGGTGACTCCATTTCCCTTCACTTTTTTCTAAACCAAGGATTGTTAACTTATGGTGGCCAGTACCAGAGAAGACATATGCAAGAGATGATATGAAAGAAAAATCAACATGCCTTGGCAACAGATTGGACAATGGGGGTGGTTCGGAGCCTGAGTAGTGATGCCCTTAATAGCAATGGGGAAGTTTGGCAGGGGGAAAAGTTTAGGGAGAGAGATAGTTTAGTTTTGGATATTTGAATTTAAGATGTCTGCAAGACATCTAGTTTAACATGCTTAATAGCCAATCAGAAACTCAATCAGGACTGAGGTTAGGGCTGAATAAGTAAATCTGAGAATCATTAGCATCGAGATGAATGAAATTATGGGAGCTGATGAGATCACTAAGTGAAAACAGTATAGACAGAGAAGAGGATCCAGGACAGAATTCTGTAGGATACCCACAGTCAGCAGGCATAACTTTGATGAAGATCTAGTAAATGAGACCAAGAAGGAGCGGTCAAAAGAGAATATCAAGGAGAAGAAGGTGATCAACAGTGGCAAAAGTTTCAGACAGGTCAAAAAGGATGAGGATTGAGAAAAGGTCATTAGTCTGGGCAATTAAAAAAAAAAACAGCAGCAACTCTGTAGAGAGCAATTTCAGATGAATGATGAAGTTGGAAGCCAGACTACTGACAATTAAAAGAGAAGTGGAGATACTGATTGTACATGATTTTTCTCAAGAAATCTGGTCACAAAATGCAGGAGAGACACAAGATGAGAGCCAAAATGGATACAATGAGTTTTTCTGAGGATGGGGAAGCCATAATAAAGTTTGTAGGAAGGAAGCAGCCAACAGACAAGGGAGATTTAGGATGACAATGGCAGCAAACTGTTAGAGAAGGGATAGAATGAGATGGCTTGTGCAAGCAGAGGGGTTAGCCTTGGCAAAGAAAAGGGCCATCTCTTCATATCAGACAGGAGGAGAGAGTGGCAGAAGGCATCTGGCTAAAAGACTAGGAGGAGAGATGGAGGTCTAGATCAAAGGCTCCCCAACTTATTTGGTCTATCGCCTCCATTTAAAAAAAAAATTACTCAGCACCCCATCCCATAAATCTACTTTCTTTAACCCTTTAATAATTTTTTGAAATTTGCATCATTTCAAAAAAATACAAAATACATATTTTTTAAAATGACACATCTAAATGTAATAATTTATTGTAAATT